TACACCAGCTGAGGGTCTGTCAGTTAGTCTCTTCAGTCACTACATTTATGTACTCTTAACAATCCCATGCGGTCTTATTTGTACATTTCTTTCTCGGCCTATATAATGGCAAATTAAACACTCAAATGCACCCAACAGTTTAGTCAGCCTTTAAATCCAGGAGCTGCTCTCTTTTAATATTATCCATTGTTCATAGTACAACTGTAGCTGGTTTTCTGAACAGCCTAATGGGAATTTTTTAGCATTCTCGTACAATTCAGACAATACATTATTTCTTTCATTTTGTCTCTGGCTGCACTGTTGACAGCTGCACTCTTGGCTAGCACACCAGGGATTGAACTGGGGATATCCACAGCTAAAGGTATAAACAGCTACAGCTTGAACTAAAGAGCCAACTCTCTGTAGCTGGGGGAGGGGGTTGTAACTACTCATATTCTTTGTGGATCAGAAACAGAGGGGGACCTATAATCCCCACTTACTAGTGAGTTGTACACGTTCCGATTGGTTTGGAATATGCTGAACGGGGAGCTTGGTCCTAAGAGAGTTCAAGGTCCCAGATGTGCCAATAAAGTTTCTACTATTTTGTTTTCCATTTAGTACATATTCCATAGCAGGAATAGAAACTGAGCATTTGTCAGCATGTCTTGAGAGACAGCGGGGTCCAGTGGTTAGGGTACTTGGTTCTATATCCAGGTCTTCCATTGATTTGCTGTACAACCTTTAGAAAGTTATTTTATTTTTCTGTTCCTCTATTTTTCTTCCCACTCTATGTCTTATCTATATAGATTGTAATCTCTTTAGGATAGCGACTGTCTCTTCTTATGTGTTTGTGCACAATAGGCTCTTGATTCTGACTGGGGCCTCAAAGTGCTACCTTGATACATATAATACATAATAATCTCTTCTATCTCTTTATTGATAATTATTTTTCATATTATGGTAGTGCCTAGAGGCCCACAAGCTAGGATTATGACAAGACAATACACAGTTAAACATGTGGTAGGTGATAGAAATGGGGGAAAAGTGGCGGGGAGAACAGAACCATTATAGCCATTGAGAGCAATAAGTCATACACACGCACTCATCTTTAATATTAATTTGTCTGTTTATTGTAGTTAAGTTCTCTTTAGAACTGATATGCATGTTCTTTTTTTCGTGATTTTCTCTAAATGGTCATTAAAGTCCTAGATATTGTGCTGGGTGCATAATTTATAAATATATAAATGGTCTCTATTAAAATATCAACATTTACTAATAGTTTATTATTTCAGCAAAGTCAGGAGAAATGTTGTGAGCACTATTAAGACCTATATGTGGTTTCTTTTGACCTTACTAGGGCCTGTAAATTGAGATGGCCTGTGGACAGACATCTGCAAGTTTGGTGTCCTTGACCAAGGCTGCTTCTCAGATGCCTTTGTTGTCACCAGTGGAGTAAAACAAGGCTGTGTTCTTGCTCCAGTGTTATTTAGCATCATGTTTTGCTGATGTTCTAATAGAGGAATTCAGAAACATTGGTTGTGGCATATATATGCAATACCGTATGGATGGAGGTGACTTATTGCCTGCACGCAAAGATAAAAGTTATGAAGACAATTATTCGTAAATTACTGTTAGTTGGTGATTGTGCTTTATTGGCCCATAACCTCAGGGACATTCAGTTGCTCATTGACTGCTTTGCAGATGCAGCAAAACATTTTGGTTTAACAGTCAGCCCGAAGATAACAGAAGTCATGGTCCAGTCTCAACCGAGAAGTCCTGCAACTACTCCAGTTGGGTCCGTCGAAGATGTATCACTCAAAATGGTGACAAATGTTGTGACCTAGGCAGTATCATTTCATGGGATGCAATAATCAACAACATTACAAAGCTCATTGGCGCAGGCTGCGAGGACTTCAGAAATCATCAGTGTCATCTCTGGAATGAATACGCTGTCAAACTGCGAACGAAAATTGACATTTACAGTGCTATTGTCATTACCACTTTCCTCTATGGCTGCAATATGTGGATTACTTATCAACACCACCTAAATTGCTTGGACCAATTCCACCTACAGTGTCTATGGTGGATAATGGCAATTAAATGGCAAGATTTAATTCTAAACACCAAGGTCCTTGAATGCCTCAAGATCACAGGCACTGAAGCTTTCATAGTAAGAGTGCAACTGAGATGGTGCAGTCATGTGGTCTGTACGTCTGACAGTAGAATACCGAAAAGTGTCTTTTACAAAGAATTGCAGACTGGAACTCGGTTTAGGGGCAGACCAAGCAAACATTACAAAGACACTCTCTCAAGACCAACTTCCAATCTTGCAAAATTGACCTCAACACCTGGGAGCTCTTAGCCCATGACACGATCTGATGGCAACAGCTCTGCCATCTCAGACCGAAAAATTTTGAGAGCTCACTGATTGCTGCAAACAAGGAGAGACCTAACTTCCTTCTAGATCCCTGTTCACCCTAATAGGGTGTGGTTCACAGACTCAACTTGTCATTAATTATATTTAGGATTCACCCAGATAACACAGGAGAAAACTTAACTCTTGTCCAACAAAAGAAACTATTAGCTATTGCCTTTATCCAGAGAGCAAAGAAATGAAGTGATCTGGAAAGAGTTAAAAATGAAAGGAATGAAGTACTCCCAGTGGACACTTCCAAGCTTCTGCTTTCATGTTTTCTTCTTTATAGCCAGATAAACATGCTTTCAGCCATCTGTCAGTACAGAATGTCCAGCGAAGGTAATCCGAGGTGATGGATGTGTCCAGTGGATGTCCAAAGGGATAAATCTGCATTCATTACTCACTGCTCCTTTTAAAGGTGGTACCTCTAAGATCTATAACAATGCCTGACCTCTTCATAATCAAGCAGTAGTAACCAATGGGTAATGAGAGTCAGAACATTTGTAACAGTGATTGGAAACAGCAATTAAAAGTAATGATAAGCAGAAAACATGGGGCTGCACTGTGTGTAATCCTTCTAGGAAGTGGAGGCACTGCTTCTGGATAGCACCGCCTGTTCACCTAGCTTTTTTACAGAGATATGGGGAGGGAAGAGGCAAAGGTGTGGCCCTGGTACAACCCTGCTTCAAACTAGCCTGGTGTTACAGGAGTGCTCTAGAAAAGAGAGATTTCTTTATACCGATAAACAATTAATAGTTCAAATTCTAGTAGTTGGCATGCAAGATTATGAAGCATAGATCCTGGATTTTGAAGGTCCAGTAAAACTTCTTGTCGCTATGCACTCTAAATGGCTTCCCTGTGTGCAGCTCTTCACGTGCAGCTCTTAACTCCTCACGCAGAAGGGAACCCGCGTTGCACTCTTTCAACAAGATCCGCTCCTACTGCTCATGCATTCGCTGAGCCCCAAGAGGAAATCCAGTGGAATCAACCAGAAGTCCTCCTGGACTTCTTTTCCAGCTCAGTCCCTTCCCACTCTGGCTCAACAATATGATCTTTAAAACAGAAGCAAGTTTCTAAATATGATAGATTTGAAAGTGTTCTCCTGGATGAATTTCAACCCTTTATTTATTAAAGGACAAATTCTCTATTGACATAAGTCCATTGTCATCAAGAGAATTAACCCAGAAGAGAGTGTGACCCTATGCTGCATCTATAGTGCAGTAAACCCAGTACTCAGAGTTATTTTTTCATAAAAACAGCAACAATGTTTATCGTGATAAGAAACGGTTTGAAAATAGGAAAGCAACCCATAGAGGTTGAAAACAACAAGGAGTCCGGTGGCACCTTAAAGACTAACAGATTTATTTGGACATAAGCTTTCATGGGTAAAAAACCCACTTCTTCAGATGCAAGACCTTACATAGAGGTTGAGCATTTTCTCCCCCTGATGGAATAATACAGGATGTTGAATGGGCTTTTTCCACCAGAAAATTCTGCCCTTGTTAACACATAGTAAGCATTAATTAGATTTCATGGCTTCACTCACCTATTGGTAAAAGAGTTTTCTTTCACAGTGTTTCAGGGCTGGCATCACAAATGCAGAGCTGGCCTTGACTATATGATGGATAATGTTTTCATCAATTGTGGCATTCTGTGACAGCAAATTCCCCGGGTAGCAAAACTTCACCGCAAACACAAGAGGAACATTGCTGATCTTAATAATTGGGTAAAGCTGTACATCACCTTATACTGTTTGGTATAATACTTCAGTTTTCTTCAGGCTGATTGTGAAACCAAAACAATTGACTGCACGAGTGAAGTGATCAGTTATAAATTGAACATTACCAACTGAGTGAGCAACGAGTGCACAGTCATCAGCAAATAAAAGCGCCTTAATAAATAAATAAATCGGCCTCTTTCATGTGGGCATGGGAACCGATGGGAACAACTTCCCATCAGTGCAGAACTGGATAAATACTCCTCTGTCAATGTCCTGAAATGCATCCATCAAAATATGTGAAAAAAAGATGGAAAAGAGTGTGGGAACCAGCATGCAACATTGTTTGGTGCCATTGGTGACAGAGCAAGGTGGTGGCAGAGCAAGGTGGTGGCAGATATGGTATGCCACTATTAACCACTTTGAAATCTGGCACATTAAGACCTAATGTGAAAAAGGTGAAGACTGCAAAGCAAGGATGCAACAGCCTGCAGTGGTCATGGACAATCCTGTCTGTCCTACATGTAGCAGTGTTTATGGTTCTTGCAATAATATGACCTCGCATACACGTGTTCACCAATAGTGTTGGCTGAATCCTCATACATCGACATCAACATGACACTTCCTTATTTCAGGACCAACTGTCTATCACATGACCCTGACAGCCAAATGACCATCAAACAAATATCATTGTCAATATGAGAGTTATAACTCCCAGGCACTTCACAAAGCATTGTTAGGTGGTTGCCACTGCCCTGCCATTCCCATCTTGCTAATTGCAAGGGGAATCCCAGTATAGAAAAGGGATCCCAGTATGTAAAGATTGAGAGTAAATCTCATAAAGCAGCCAGATTGGATGGAATAAAGAAAAAAACAATCTGTACTCACCTATGGTTGGATCATGATAATCAGGAAACCGATGGCTTATGAACTGCATTGTCATTGCTGGGGAGGAGAAAAAGAGAGAGGTTACAAATGAAAACAGTGATGAGATGGGAGTGAAATAAAGCAGAGGGAAATGTAGGCAGAATTCAGAAACCCAAACAGCAGCCTGGTCATGAATGGTCCAAGCACTTGGCTGATATTTGCAATTGCACAAGACAAAGCCCGATTCATTTTGTGTGCCTTTCTCTGCAGACTGTTTTCCCAGCCTTAGTAGACGCCAATCACTAGAGTAATATAAAACAGGACAAGAGGATATCCTCTAGGGAACAATCTTGTAGCAGGCTGAGACAGGTTGATAAAAATAGCTTGTGAATGTCTTAACTTGGTCTTAATTGGGGCTACCCAGGGGACAATTATTGGCCAACTCATCTCCTTTGTGAAAATAATGCAAGGGAACGATTTCAAAAAATATGAGTTTCATGTAGCATCAGGGTCTGCATGCCCCACAGAACAACAAGGGGTTTTGGAGGATAAAATCAACAGATCCATGCACCAAAGGGACATGGGTCATCAGCCCTCTATGCCCCAAGTGAGCTACTGCCTTTGTAACACCGCTCTTCTCTAAAGACAGGTTTCAGAGTAGCAGCCGTGTTAGTCTGTATCCGCAAAAAGAACAGGAGTACTTGTGGCACCTTAGAGACTAACAAATTTATTTAGTCTCTAAGGTGCCACAAGTACTCCTCTTCTCTAAAGAGGGATTCAACCTTGCAGATGGAATGTTAGCTATGTTAAAATTGGCCCAATCAATATTAATTTACCCATAAAAATGTGTGGGGTTAATGGAGAACCAATGCTGCCTCTTGGTGATCCCCAGACCGTGAACCACAGTATATATGGATTATTAAACCTGTGTAACGTCAAAGGAAGAGCTTATACAGGGTGAGAGGATAGGAGGAAATGATGCCAAAGTACCTCATAAATATAAAGGTCTTTATAGGCTTTCCAGACATTAATAACTTGTGCTTGTGAGGTAGGAAAATACCTCCTTTTTGCAGATGGGGCAATGAGGAACAGAGAATTCTAATGAAAAATCTGTGGGCATTTCATTAATATATATTTAAATACAATAATGGAAAAATACAATATTAAACATTATGTTCATTGAAATAAACCCCAGTTTCTTCTTTTTCAAAAACTTTATTGAGCAGCTTCTCCATTAAAAAGTCAGAGATGAGAATGATGAGAATGTCATGTCTATTTAGCATCTGGTTGAACACTACGTAACACCTTGGCACTGGCCAAATATCTCCCTTAAGCAAAACTGTTGCTCATATTCTCCCAGTTATACAATGGCCCACTCCTACTCTTAATCAGGTGCTCCATGAGGTATCTCAAGGAACCAGCATGATTAAGCATGCCTTATTAAGTAAAGTATTAAGAAAGTATTATCAGAGGGAGAAATTGTTTTAAATGTTGAAGAGAAAATAAAATGAGGTCCAAGCAGAGTCCTTAAGGTGAATGTGTAATGGACTCTTCTGATACACTCCTTTACTAGCAAAACCTCATCATCTTATATGAATAATCCAGAATTGTACAAAGGCTTGGTCTACACTACAGAGTTAGGTCAACATAAGGCAGTTTATGGCTACTTACTTATGTCAATGTCTACACTACAGTGCTGTTTCCACCGAAGTAAGTAGCCCTCTGCACCAACATAATAACTCCACCTCCATGAGAGGCATAGCACTTATGTTGATGTAGTTAGGGGACAAAGTGTCTGGGTAGACACTGTGTTACTTACATTGGCTATTGGCTGTCAGCCCTGAATGAGGCTCCCCCGTCCCCAACACTGACAGCCCGAGTTGTCAGCTGGGCCCTGGGCTCACAGCTGGGGCTGCTAGCACTGATAGCTTGGAGTGTCAGCGCCAGGGTGTGGGGGGAGCCCAGCTGTGAGCCTGCATCTGGCTGACAGGGAGGGGAGGCAGCTCTCAGTCCCATGCTTACAGCTGAAGCTGTCAGCCCCAGGGCTGCTGGGCTCTAGCTCTCAGTGTCCCACAATGCCCCACTTCAGTCGGTGGAAGCGCTCCAGGTGAGCCGGTGCACCACCTACAGAAGGAGCAAGTGTGGACGTGAACCACCACTTTAATTACTGCAGTGACTGTATGGCGACTTAAGTTGACTTAATTTAGTAGTGTGGACAAGCCCAAAGTAACATCAATTGCAGTACCCAATTTCATATCTGATGCTTCTTGCAAACATGAACTCTCGTTAAATACGATGCAGGAGACAAACAATCCTTCTTTACACTATATGGAATCCTCCCATCAGATTATTTTATGCCTGAATGTTACCCACTAATAAAAGTTTTAGAAAATTCATTTCAGGCAGCCAGCAACTAACTCATATCATTTTGTGGTGGTGGTGTTTCCTGAGGGTGAAATTGATCTCTGTGCAGATGGCCAGCAACATGTAAGTCACACTTAAGTCTTATTTTAAGGGCTTAAATGGTACATAACCCTCATGAAGACCATCAGAACTAGCCTAAGTTTCAGCTTGCTTGGGGCAATTGGTATCGGAGTGACTTCTGTTGGCTAAGAAAGTCTGGATGGGGGTCTCAGATCCCTTGCTTAGACACAGCTGTGTTGATAAATCTCCTGATTTTATAGCAGCCCATAATATTTGGTGTTTCATCAGTGTCAAAGAGATTGCATGAGGATCTCATCTTTCATTGAAAAGAAAAAAAAAATAACTTTCTAGCCCTAAAGGTTGCAGGGAAATGGTAGAAAATGTGAAGTGAGTTGACCATAAAGGCTCAGAACCAGAAGGCAAATAAAACAAAATCAAAGTGTTTTTTTTTTTAAATAAATCTCATTATCTTTAAACCAATCTCATGACTTTTTGTGGAGCTTGACTCGTCGTTTTTGAATGTTTGGAGTTGGCAATACATCATATTGTAACATAACTATACCTAGCTCTTATATAGCTCTTTTCATCAGCAGACCTCAAATCACCTTTTAAGAGGGATCAGTATCATTATTCCTATTTTGCAGGTGGGGAAACTGAGGCACATGGCAGGGCAGCAAGCTGCCCAAGGTCACCCAGTATGCCAGTGCTAGTAATAGAACTCAGGTCTCAAGTCCAATGCTCAGAATACCAAGCCATGCTACCTCCGCTAGGACACATATAAGACACACTCCCCTATTTAAGGGCTGAATATAGTGTCTTTTCCCTGGTCCCAGCAACCTATTTTGGCATGTTAAATCAAAAATGAGATTCTCCCTAGGATATCTTGAATGGCAGAGCAGATAGCCATTACAGCATCCCTACTTTGAAAATGATTTATGTTAATTAGTCCAGAATTGCATTACTTTGTTGAAATACTCTTCCCTGCTCTTATCTTAGGGAATCATGGGTTAACAAGATGCTCTGACAAAATGTTACAGAAAAGCCGGATTAAATATTTATGACCATGTTAATAAAATATTGCATATTTAGGATAGACAAATATAAATGTTAAGGAGCAGCATTATAAATTCATAGCGACACAGAAAGGATAACTGTTTTAAAAAGCTCATTTAAAGTCCACATACCATGAGTGAATAAAACAACATGCAGTTACACTAATGTTTTCAGTCTTGTGTGCCATCAAATGCATTACTTTTTTGAGTACTGTATGTATTTGGGTACTTCCATATCCAGGCCACCTGTTTTTAACCCAGCAATGTTTTTAGACACCCCCATCTGATAACTATTTGGTGGCCTGTGAAAAATAAGTTAATGCCCAATGTAATATTCTCAGTTTGTTATCAGACGTGGAACCACTGAGACCCATCCCATAAGATTCAGGCATACAAGCCTTTATTGCAACTTTTCTGAGATCACACACTGTCTGCATAGCAGATGGATCCAACTAGTTCCGTTCCCTTGTGTGTGCTATTGCCAGCTCTCTTAAAGGTACACTCCACTAATCCAGTCTCAATCCAGTTCCCAGTGGACCAATGTCCATGTCACAAAAATTGTTGTGACAACTAAAACAATTGCTGAAATTCTCACCAGAAGCCAAGGACTCAGGATTAAACTTTACCATTTTCCATGGACCAGCCCAAAGGCAGTGCCCTGTTAAATCCATAGCACAGGATTTAAGTGGAAATGTTGTTGTTCATAGATTAAAATGATTCTAATATCAGAAGAGACCACTGTGGTCATCTAGTCTGACCTTCTGTATAACACAGGCCATAGAATTTCCCCAAAAAATTCTGTTTGAACTACAGCATATCTTTCAGAAAAACATAGAATCTTGATTTAAAAATTGAAAGTGATGGAAAGTCCTTTCCAACTCTTGGTAAGGTGTTTCGGTGGTTAATTACCCGCACAGTTAAAAATGTATGCCTTATTTCCAGTCTGAATTTATCTAGTTTCAATTTGCATGGGGTCATAGGCATTGTACTGGCCATTTACACTAATGTGCAAGAAGACTGGATTTACATTGTCATTTCTAGATTTATTTTTCCCTCCCAAGAAAGATTGAGGCATTCTGCTATGGGGTAGCATTGAAATGTGCAGTGCCCATGTCAAACCTGTTAAGCAGCTACATAGTGAACTTTAGTCTTTTAAGAGTCAAATTCAATACAGGTATAAAAAAGCACAATTCAGTTGGAGCCAGTGAAATGATAACTCGGGATCATTTAAGAACAACTTACCAGATGCCCAAAAAGGAACAATCCAAAAATTGAGGAAGAAGGCTGTGCTGGTTAAAAAACAGACCTGGTTTAGAGGGAAGTGAAGGCAACTATAAAAATAAAATAATAATAATAATAATAATATATAACAAATGGAAGAAAGGGGAAGTTGATACTAATAAATACAAATCAGAAGTTAGGAATAGTGGAAAATTGATAAGGGAAGTAAAGGGACACAAAGAGAAATATTTGGACAGCAGAGTTACAAAAATAAGGAGTCTTTTAAATGTATCAGCAACAAAAAGAATCCTGACAATGGTACTGGTCCATTACTAGATGGAAATGGTATACTTATCAATAATAATGCAGAAAAGGCAGAAA